GTAGAAAAATTCTAATTTAAAAATACTATATTTCATATATTTTTTTAAAAAAATAATTTATTTTTTAATTTATAGTGAGTTTTACGGACTTTTATTTAATCATTTTACCATTGATTCTTTATGAATTTTAAAATTTTGAATTGACAATAAATTTTTATTTGTTAAATGCTACATTTTAACTATTTATTTTCTTTTTTTATTCTTTCTTCTTATTGGCTTGACTATTTCTTCTTCTTCTTCTTCTTCACTCTCTTCCTCTCCATATATTACAATATTTACATTTTCATCTTCTTCTTCTTCATCATCATCATTATTATCATTATAAATTATTTCAACTCTTTCATCTTCTTCATCTTCTTCAAATTCTTCTAATTCATCTTCTTCATCCTCTTTATCATCATAAATTACAATATCTTCATCTTCTTCTTCTTCTCCATCATATTCTTCTTCTTCTTCTTCAACTTGTTCATCTCTATCTTTTCTAATTTTTCTAATTTTAATTATTTCAAATACTTCTTCATCTTCTTCTATATTTTCATCTTGTTCATCATAATTTTCATCTTGTTCATCATAATTTTCTTCTTCTTCTTCTAATCCAATTTCTTTTCTCAAATTAATATCATTTAAGGTTCCATTAATCTTGGCAATATTTAATCTATGAATCATCATTTTCTTTAAATGAGTATTCTTTCTTTCCATTTTAACAATCTCTCTTTCCATTCTTTTCTTTAATTCTGCTTCAATTTTAATAAATTGAGGGGTTTGGGTTTGGGGTTGGGGTTGGGGTTGGGTTGGGTTTGGGTTTGGGTTTGGGTTTGGGTTTGGGTTTGGGTTTGGGTTTGGGTTTGGGTTTGGGTTTGGGTTTGGGTTTGGGTTTGGGTTTGGGTTTGGGTTTGGGTTTGGGTTTGGGTTTGGGTTTGGGTTTGGGTTTGGGGTTTGGGTTTGGGTTTGGGTTTGGGTTTGGGTTTGGGTTTGGGTTTGGGTTTGGGTTTGGGTTTGGGTTTGGGTTTGGGTTTGGGTTTGGGTTTGGGTTTGGGTTTGGGTTTGGGTTTGGGTTTGGGTTTGGGTTTGGGTTTGGGTTTGGGTTTGGGTTTGGGTTTGGGTTTGGGTTTGGGTTTGGGTTTGGGTTTGGGTTTGGGTTTGGGTTTGGGTTTGGGTTTGGGTTTGGGTTTGGGTTTGGGTTTGGGTTTGGGTTTGGGTTTGGGTTTGGGTTTGGGTTTGGGTTTGGGTTTGGGTTTGGGTTTGGGTTTGGGTTTGGGTTTGGGTTTGGGTTTGGGTTTGGGTTTGGGT